AACATGCTACATATGAAGAATGAGAGGGGAGTAAACTGAGAGGTTACTTCAGGCAGAGGGAGAAGCACGCATGAGCAGAGACTCAGAAGAGATCTCAAAGACCAGCTCCTCACATAATTTTTTTTTTTTTTTTTTTTGAGACAGGGTCTCTGTCTGTCTTCCAGGCTGGAGTGCAATAGTGTGATGTAGCTCATTGCAGCCTTCACCTCCCTAGCTCAAGTGATCATCCCACCTCCCTAGTAGCTGGGACTACAGGTATAAGCCACCCGACTGGCTAGTTTTTAAATTTTTTTGTAGAGACAGGGTCTCACTATGTCTTGAACTCCTGGGCTGGTCTCAAACTCCTGGGCTCAAGCGATCCTCTTGCCTTGGCCTCCCAAAGTGCTGTGATTATAGGCATCTTTACATAATTTAAAAAATTCCTTATACACTATCATGGAGAGATGATAATTCCACTTCTGTTGGATCATTTCCAGTGAGAGGAAAATATTACCTCATGAGACAAAAAGATTTAGCTCTCACCTTTTCAGTTGGTGTTGCATGGTGTCTAGGAGTTTGTCAGATTTTTATCTCTTCATTGTCACTGAATAACAGGCATAGAAATAGCTGATCTTTAACTCCCTCTTGAGGGAATAAGAAAATGTCGTGTGTCTTAGGACCTTTGACTTACAGAATGTTAGAGCTTGGAGGGACGTGAGAGATCATTTAGTCCAGTGGTTTTTGTCTTTTTGTGTGTGACTCATGGACCCATTTGGAGAATGTATAAAGAAAGTCTATAGATGCTCTCCCGCAAAACGCATGTGTGCTTCTGACACAAAATGCTGTGTACAGTTTCAGGTATTCATGGATCCCTGAAGCCCATCTTGAATTAAGAAACCTTCTTTCCATTTTACTGACGAAAATCTGAGGCTCAGAGAAGTGGAATGGCATGAAAGAGAACAATGGAAGTAATTCCCCATGGGCCAGATGACTTTGTGAGCAGATGAGTCAGACACATGGGCCAACCATTAACAATCTGGTGATGTTCAGGGAAGCATTGACTAATTACCAAGTGAAAAGGAGACGAGCAGTAGCAATGGAAGTGTTATGAGCAGTTTTTTAAAAATCTGAACGTTGGTTTATGAAAAGGGGATTTAGATTTTTCTCTTTGGCTTCCAGGGGTAGATTCAAGTCCAAAGGGTAGAAAAGAACTTTTGCTAGACAGAGCCCTCCACTAATGGAATATGTTATCTTGAGAGATACAGGACTTCTTGCTCTTGACTTTTTGGGGACACAGAACCACCTCTCGTAGAAGGGACTTAAGCATCACAAGAGTTTGAACTGGGTGACCAAAACTGGACATGATGATGTAACTCTTAGAAACATAATCACATATACTAGCTAGGAAGAAGCTCAGGTCTCCCAGACAGCATGGTAAGTGAAGTGAAGAAAGTTCAGGTTGGCTGAGATATCAGGTGGGAGGGTGGTGGTAGTGGAGAGAAATGAGACTTAGAAATGTAAGTGGAAGTGAAAGAAATGTTGAAGGATCTTACAGAGCACCATGGCTGGTATTTAAGAAAGAGGGGGCTGGGCGCGGTGGCTCATGCCTATAATCCCAGTGCTTTGGGAGGCCAAGGTGGGTGGATTGAGGTCAGGAGTTTGAGACCAGCCTAGCCAACATGGTGAAACCCCATCTCTACTAAAAATACAAAAATTAGCTGGTTGTGGTGGTGCACACCTGTAATCACAGCTACTTGAGAGGCTGAGGCAGGAGAATGGCTTGAACCCAGAAGGTGGAGGTTGCAGTGAGCCGAGATCAAGTCACTACACTCCAGCCTGGGCCACAGAGTGAGACTCCATCTCAAAAAAAAAAGAAAAAAAGAATGAGGGCTTGTATAGAGTGGTGGTGGCACAGAAGCATGAAAGCAAAGGCTATCAAAGGGGGAATGCACACAATCAATGGTAGCAGCCCTAGCAAGCACCTAAAAAGGCCAGAACAGAGACAGACTGTGGTGATGAGCTGTTTCCATCTGCATGTCTGTGTGTTGCAGAGTCTGAAGTTATAGTGAAAACAGGACATGCAAATGGAAACATCCAATGATCTAAAGTGTTGGCAAGTGACAAAAGCATAGCAGAAATGCCCACTAGGCAACTGAAGATATGAGATTAGAGTTCCAGGAGGTCAGGGTGTGAGACAGATTAGGGGGCTATCTATAGACATGAATTAATTTAAAATTTAAGAGTAGATACATTTTCAATGGAAAAAAGTATAGCATGAGTAGAAGTCTAAGAAGTTCGCCTTCAAGGCTGACTGCAGTGTGGAGATGGAATAATTTAAAAGATGTGAGAAGGGAGAGTCAGAGAGTTACAGGAGATCTGAGATTCGAGTGAAATAAGAACCTGGCAAAAAGCAAGCTTCAGGGAAGAAGGGTGATCAACAGAAATATGGTTTTATTTTAGTGTACACTCAACTGTGTGCTTTGGCAGGTAAATTATAGTAATGTTCATTTTGGCAACAACATAGGCAGTGCAGTGTGAATTATAAAGTGCTTTTAAATTGATTATAGATATATGTTAAATAGCATTTTCTAACATTACCTGCCTTAGTAAATATCACTACAACTTTTTTCTGTCCCAGTTTCTCTTTCAGTAAATTAGAAATTACTTTACTTAAGTTTAATAAGTGCCTTTCACATCCTCATTTTAAGGAAGATGATTTCTGCCATCCTAACATAATAAACTGGGAAAGGTACACCAAGGTGACATGCTGTGCCTGGGCCAGCTTAGTCAATGAGGCAGCAGCAGCAAGGACTGAGTTTAGCATCCCGATGTTTGTTTCTTCAAGCAAGAATTAAAAGCAAAATTAAACACTGACTCAGATCTTAACAAATAACTTTTGAGAAACAGAACAAATGAAATCAGTTTCTCTACCATTTAAGTATATCTCTTGGAGATCTATAGCCTCCCTTTAGGGGACAAACAAAGTCAGTTGTGTAGCCTTTGTTGAGTCTCATCTTATATTCAAGCAGATATGACTGCCAATTTTGAAAATAGATTCTCACACATTAAACTGGAGCTTATGGAAACATCAGTAGAATGAAACACAACATTCCATCCCTTTACAGAGATCATTTACTTGCAACTCAGGATAATTGGTCATATGTATTATCTACTTATGGTTGCCACTCACAAGCAGAGAACTTTTATAAGAAGGCTGGAAAGAGAGATATATAGAGGCTTTTAGGTTGATACTGGATTCTTTGGCAAAAGTGAAAGGAAGAGGGCATCATTAAGAGAAGAGAGCAACATAGTATTTCCTGGGATACCATCTACTTCAGTAGCTTCAGAGTCACAGAAAATGGTGTGTTTCTATAAATCTTATTTACTGAAGGCCGACATGATAATTAACATTCCAGTACATAGTGGTATTTAACTTCTCATTAAAATGACTTATCTTGCCTCTTATTATTACTTTTAATGATTATTTAGTACACTTATGCTTCCCCCTTGAGGGTAAGATGTAGAAGGATTTAAGAGTTAGAAGGACTGAAGATTTAGATTTAGAAACATTCAAGATACAGCCAGGAAGTTATCTTTCAAGAATCTGCACAGACTGGGCACAGTGGCTCATGCCTATAGTCCCAGCACTTTGGGAGGTCAAGATGGGCAGATCACTTGAGGTCAGGAGTTCAACACCAGCTTGGCCAACATGGCAAAACCTCATCTCTACTAAAAGTACAAAAATTAGCTGGGTGTGGCGGTGCACGCCTATAATCTCAGCTACTTGGGAGGCTGAGTTACAAGAATCACTTGAACCCGGGAGGTGGAGGCTGCAGTGAGTGGAGATCATGCCACTGTACTCCAGCCTGAGTGCAGTGAGAGACTGTCTCAAAAAAAACAATCTGCTTGCCCACATCTTTATCATCAGAGTTTATGGTGTCTGTATTTGCTAATGTGATACACTGCTGCTATTTAAAATACTTCTACCCAACATATCTATCAAAGAAAAGGCAAACCAAAGTATAATATAAAATAAATCTTTTTTTTTTTTTTTTTTGAGATGTAATCTCACTCTATTGCCCAGGCTGGAGTGCAGTGGTGCCACCTGGGCTCACTGCAACCTTTGCCTCCCAGGTTCAGACAATTCTCCTGCCTCAGCCTCCCGAGTAGCTGGGATTACAGGCGCTAACCACCACGTCCAGCTAATTTTTGTATTTTTAGTAGAGACGGAGTTTCACCATTTTGGCCAGTCTGGTCTTGAACTCCTGACCTCAAGTGATCTGCTTGCCTTGGCCTCCCAAAGTGCTGCGATTACGGGTGTGAGCCACTGCACCCAGCTTTAAAATCAATCATTTATGTGAAATAATGAGAATGTGTAATAGGCACAGTCATTTTGTATCATTGTCCAAAAAAAAAAAATGCGAAGTCCTTGAGGCAGGGGGGATTTTGCTTTTTTAGTTGCCATTTTCTCCCTAGGCGCTAGCCAAGCGTTTTGTCTGTACAGTAAGCATTCAATCAATATTTCTTGAGTAAATTATTTAGTACAGATGTTTTAGGAAATGGGTGAAGGACAGTAAGCTATTTATACAAGTTGGTTGCTTTAATCAAATTAAAATCAGACTTAGATTGATCTAGTGAAAGTAGGCTAGATACTGGCATGTTTCTTTTGGAAAGAGAAAGAGGAAGGGCAAGAAGGGCAGTTATTTCTTTACAGCTTATTCTAGGAAGCAATCCCATCCCCAACTCCCTGCCATGAGTGGGAGTGCTTTGTCCCTGGGCTGAAATATTGGGACTAATCTAGAGGAATCACCACCCAGCAAAGGTTAGGCCTTTGTCCTTCACTGCAGCCTCGGTCCCAGAAGACGGAGTGCTGAGAAGAGGGAAGGTGACCGGTTGCAGGGACCAACAGTAATTCACATTCTCATCTGCTTCCCTCTCCTGGACACCCCAGCACCCCCCACACCCCCACTTCCACCCTGATTCTGGGTGGCGAGAGTGCAATCTGCATAGCTCACACTTACTTGGCAGCAGCATCTTTTCTCAACTGTTCATGCTTCATGAGGAGATTTTTCCTGTCTCGGAAGGCTTTTCTGACCTTGTACCCTTTGTAGACAGCTTGGATTTTGAAGGCGGCGATGTCTTGAATGGCTGCGATGGACAGGGCACCGTGCTCCAACATGAACTGGATCACTTCATGGCGCTCACCAAGCAAAGCATAATCAAGGGGTGTGTATCTGAAGTGGGAGGAAGATTTCTTTTTTTTTTTTTTTTAAATTTTAGAATGTAATTCAAGGCACAATTAAACTGAAAATATTATCATGCAGCAGAAGGAAACTTCATTCTAAGATGTGGAATATTCCCTAGGCAAAGCCACCTTCTCTATAACAGGGCTGTTCTTTTTTTCTCCAAGGGGCACAAAACAAGGTTGACTACTGTGGGTCAGGTGCTTTGTGCTGCTAACCATGGCAGTTCCTGAGTTTTACTCCCTGGCAAACAAATAGGGGCCTATTGGAAACACATGATCACTTCCCTTCTTTCCCATGTGCCAAATAATTCCCTGCCCCTATCTAAAAAGGTAGTGAAGATATTAATTGTGAGATTTGTGAATTTGAGCCCATGATTACTGACAGTTAATGCTTATGAAGTAAAAAAACAAAGCTCCAAATGGAGAAATTCGGTATATGATAAGAATGGCCCTTTACATTTCTGCAGAAAAGATGGATTACTAAGTAAATACTGATGGGACAACCAGGTAGCCAACTGGGGGAAAAAAAGAGATTCTTATACCACATTTTATACCAAAATAAATTCTGGATAGAGCAAATATCTAAATATTTTAAAAAGGAACCATGAAAGTACCAGAAGAAACCAGGAAGATTAAAAACAAAATGATGTTGGAAGTCTTCTCTAAAAAAAAGATACAAAAGGCCTGGGTGCAGTGGCTCATGCTTGTAATCTCAGCACTTTGGGAGGCTGACGCGGGTGATCACTTGAGCTTAGGAGTTCGAGACAGTCTAGCCAACATGGTGAAACCCTGTTTCTACTAAAATTAGCCAGGCATGGTGGCATATAACTGTAGTCCCAGCTACTCAGAAGGCTAAGGCAGGAGAGTTGCTTGAACCCAGGAGGTAGAGGCAGTAGTGAGCAGAGATCACGCCACTGCACTCTAACTTGGGCAACAGAGTGAGATGCTGCCTCAAAAAAAAAAAAAAAAAAAAAAAAAAAATTCAGAAACCATAGAGAAGACTGACAAATCTAACCAAATAAAAATAACAAAATTTTACAGGGTAAAAAAACCACCAAAGACAAAGATAACAGTTCTCAGAAGAGTAAATACTAATAGCTCTTAACATATAAAAAATACGTTCAACCTCACTCATTTAAGAGAAATATGAATTAGACTAACATGAGAAAGTACCTTTCAATGATGATCAGTTTGGCAAAAATCAGAAAACTTAGTAACACACTGCACTGGCAAGGATAGAGAGAGTCAGGCTCTCTCATATACTATTTTAACGTTTAGGGAGGATAATTTGGCAATATTTATCAAAATTATTCACATATATATGCCATTTGACATAGCCGTTTCACTCTTAGGAATTTATCTTACAGATCTGCTCTCATGTGAAATGCTTTATGTACAAAGCTACTCATGGAAGTACAGTTAGTCATAGCAAAAGAATAGAAACAACCTCAATGTCTATCAACAGAGGACTGCTTAAACAATGCACAGGCCATCCATATAATGAAGACATCTGTATATGCAGTCATTACTGCTGTATATGAATAAATAAAGAACAATCTCCAGGATGTCTTGTTAAATGAAGACAAAGAAAAAAGCAAGAAACAGGAGTTGTTATGGCATGTTCCGTTTGTATATTAAAAAAAAAATCCTTGTATGTTTATCTATAAAAATGTATTTCCAGAAGTTTTCCAAGAAACTGCTAACAGTGATGCCTCTGGGGTAGGAAAACTAGCTGTCTCAGAGGCAGGGGTAGGAGGAACATTGAGTCTTCAGTGAACGTCCTTTTAAATTTCGTACAGTGTATATACATCACTGTTTTGACTATAAGGGATGAATATTATTGTCATATTGTTATATATTTAAATCTCAAATGGCAGCTTTCTAGATGTGTTATTTTTGGCACATTTTTTTTCTTTTTTTTTTTTGAGACAGGGTCTCACTCTGTTGCCCAGGCTGGAGTGCAGTGGTGCGAACACAGCTTACTGCAGCCTCAACCCCTTCTGGGCTCAAGTAGTCCTCCTGCCTCACCCCCCCAAGTAACTGGGACTACGGGCATGTACCACCAAAACTGGCTAATTTTTGTTTTTTTGTTTTTTTGAGACAGAGTTTTGCTCTTGTTGCCCAGGCTGGAGTGCCATGGCGCAATCTCAGCTAACTGCAACCTCTGCTTCCCAGGTTCAAGCAATTCTCCTGTCTCAGCCTCCCGAGTAGCTGGGATTACAGGTGCATGCCACCACACCCGGCTAATTTTTTTTGTATTTTTAGTAGAGACAGGGTTTCATCATATTGGTCAGGCTGGTCTCTAACTCCTGACCTCAGGTGATCCACCCACCTCGGCCTCCCAAAGTGCTGGGATTACAGACATGAGCCACTGCACCCGGCCAATTTTTGTATTTTTTGTAGAGATGGGATTTCGCCATGTTCTCCAGGCTGGTCTTGAACTCCTGAGCTCAAGCAATTCTTCTGCCTTGGCCTACCAAAATGTTGGAATTACGGGCGTGAGCCACTGCATCGAGCCCATTCTTTAAAAAAAAATTTCTTTTTAAATTTTGGAAACATAAAAAATTGGGTTAATACACAGAGGAAAATAGCTGTCATCCATATTCCCACCTTGAGAATTAACCACTGTTCATATCTGGGAGATATGATTTCTTTTTTTAAAGAAAAATTACTTTGTCAAAATGATATAGATTTTATGAACTCAAACACTGCAAAAAAAGAAAATTGAAGTAAAAAAATTCCCCTAATTCTACCATCCAACAATGGTAATGATGACTATCACTTTTTAAACAACTTACTTTACATTTCTAAGCCTCAGTTTTCCTCATCTGATAAACAATGTAATACGCTGCAGACCTGGCACGAGGAGAAAATGGAAAAATAAGTATAAAGAGGATAGCAATGTTCCTGGCCCAAAGGAAGCAGTTAATAAATGTTAGCTCTGATTGTTGTTATTACAGGACATTCACTGCTGTATGGTTTGCAATACCATAGCACCTTATCAAAAATATTATCTCCATAGGACCCAAACTAGTATCTATGACCATCCCATGACCATCACTGATGCTGATTCCTCTCAGGATGACTTTGACCAGCCCAATGCCATCAAAGGTCTTGGGAGAAAACATCAGATGATTTATGAGGCAGAAAAAAGGATGATTATATGGATGCATGACTAGACATAGAAAATCATCCGATTATAGAAAAAAAATGATTTCTCTTCAAAACTTACATAACAGTCTCAGTTAAGACATAAAAAAAAGAGGTTTTTCATTTTAGGAGTATTTTGATCACTTTAGTAAGGAAATTGAGTTTGGGAGGAAACCCCAAACACTGAAATTAAGGAACTTCCATTTTAGGACAGCTTCATTTGCCACTTACTGTTCAGGGACCAGAAGGCTGTAAGTAAAAAGGCATCTATATAAACTTTAAAACATTATTTATAAGTGGATAGCATTTTTTAAATTCAGGAGAATTAAAAAAATTCTTGCTACAAGTTCTAAAATGCCTTTCTTGATTGTGCTTTCTCTAATGGAAAAAATTACCATAGAGTCATTAAACCATGCAGTAATAGAGCTAAACTGAATTTTAAAGGTCATTTAGTTCAGTACCTTCATTTTATAAATGGATGAACAGATTCAGAGAGGTTAAGCAACTTACCAAAGGTTATGTAAATTGTTTCTATAGAATGCAGACTAGAACTAAGATAACATGTCTCCCAGTTCAGTAATCCTTCCACAACACGTATATCAATTATTTAGTATGTTTCCTATCGAATAAAACTGTTTCTTAAATCAATGTGCAAACAACATATGTATTTGGTAAGTTTGATCATTTTTTCTATAATTATTAATAGGTAGTATCCTCCACATAATATATAAGCAGGATTAACAAAATTTAGTTTATAAAATGTAGGGACCAAATTATTTCTTTACCTACAAATATTACAAAAGAAAATAACATGTAGCTTAATATATCCTAAAGAATGCTAATCTGGGAGTCAGGGGACCTGTGTGACCCTGGGCATTCTCTTCACTTCTCTGGTCTTTTGTTTCCTTATCTGTAAAAGGGGAAAGGAAGAAAAGAACTAGACTTCTTAGGCTGCTTCTGGATTGAAAATTATATCTTAAATATTTTTACTGTAAAAAATTGTATTTTTATTATGAAAAATTTTAAGCATAAAAAATGTAGAGAGAATAACACAATAAACCTTTACACACTCAATACCTAAATTTAACATTTTTTTGCTACATTTGCTTCATCTAGCCCCTTCCTTTTTATTTTTGCTAGAGTATTTTTTTTTTCTTGAGACAGTCTCATTCTGTCATCCAGGCTGGAGTGTAGTGGGTCAGTCTTGGTTCACTGCAAGCTCTGCCTCCCAGGTTCATGCCATTCTCCTGCCTCAGCCTCCCAAGTAGCTGGGACTACAGGCACCCACCACCATGCCTGGCTAATTTTTTGTATTTTTAGTAGAGACGGGGTGTCCGTGTCAGCCAGGATGGTCTCAATCTCCTGACCTTGTGATCTGCCCGTCTCGGCCTCCCAAAGTGCTGGGATTATACGCGTAAGCTACCATGCCTGGCCTTTGCTAGAGTATTTTACAGCTAATCTCGGAACTTCCATCATTTTGTCAGAGGTGTTGGAACCAGAGGACTCTACCTTGAGTGAGGGCTAGGAAAATGAGGCTGGGGCTTGCTAGGTTGCATTCCCAGAAAGGTATTCCTAGATGTTTACAGTTAAGGGAACAGACTGATAATGTTTACTAAACAAACCCAGACTTGAGGGAGTCCTAATATCCTGATATCTGGAGAACAAAGGCATTCCTAATTTTGCTTTAAAGATAATAATATTGATTCTTGCAAAATGTAGTAATTAAGAAAATGAATTCTTTATCACAAACCCTTGTAGCATAGCACATCTCCCCATAATCTCTTTTTTTTATCCTGTATATAAACAAATATTATACCTAGGGTGGACTCGTTTCTCCTCTTACTTTCGGGAATGCCCTACTCTGTCTATGGAGTAGCTGTACTTTCACCACTTTACTTTGTTAATAAACTTGCTTTTGCTTTGCACTGCGGACTTGCCCTGAATTGTTTCTTGCGAGAGATCCAAGAACCCTCTCTTTGGGTTGGGATTGGGACCACTTTCCTGTAACATCTTCATCTCTATGTGTTTAAGTATTCATCAGTAAATAATATGGGCATAGCCACAATGTCATTATTATACTAACAAAATTAACAGGAATTCCTTAGTAAAATCTAAGGACCACTTCATAATCAAATTTACCCAATTTTCTCAAAAAATGCATTTTTGTAATTGGTTTATTCAAATCAGTATTCGCAATATTTTATTCAGAGACACAATCCAAATATCTAGCATCATTTTAAGATTGAAGTCTATACCTAGCATTTAAAACAAGTGTGATCATAAAACACATTGTGATTATTACTACTGAGTCTTTCTTTATCCCAAATTCAACTTAGAAAAATTCAAGTGCTGTGACTATTCCCATCAGTGTTGGGGTGAGTGTGTCAGACAGTTATTGACTGAAAGTCAGCAGAAGCTGGCAAAAATTATGTCTATACGGTGTTCATCAACTGACTAGTGTCAATGTATGAGAAGTAAAAATTAGCCCTACACTGATGGTAACCAACCAAGAAACAATGTGGATATAGACAACAGACAAGATACAATTGGACCTGCCATGTGGCAGGGAATGGTCTGATGGGATGAGTAGAATGCTTAAACTGGAATGTCAATAAATGTAAAAGGCAGTGCCAAGTTCTGACATTTGTACATCAAAGTACATTGCTGATGAAACATTAACAGAGATTGGGTTATTGCCACTGTCTCTTTTTATCTATAGTTTGGCAAGTACAGTTATGAGGATTTTTCCTTTGGTCTTTTGGTCTGTAATTAACATATGCTTATTCTGGGAGACAGTAAACACCTTAATTCATGCAGTTACTTAGGTCTCATATTCAAGGTTTAGCATATAAATGGAAATTGGATTAAAAAAATTTCATTGTTTCCTTAAAAATATAGCAGACAGGTGGTACTGTTACACAGAATAAATTTTTATAGAAAAAAAACAAGTCATCACTAAGTCTGAGGATTCTTAAACTTTCTTTTTGTTTTTTTTAGAGTTTCAAAGGGAGACATCTTCAACTGTCCCTCTAATGAGGGAAGTTTCTGAAAGAAGTGGTAAAGGGGTTGGTTCTAGCAAACAGGAACATGTTTCCTCTGAGATGGACCTAGAGAAGTCCCTTCTCAACAAAGTTTCCCACCAACTAATAGAAAGAAAGAATGGGTGGTGGCTAAGAAGATGAGAATGGTATTATAGCAGGAGCCATTTTAGTTAGAGCATCCATGAAACATGGAAACTAACACAAAGACCTAGGTCAGAGGGACTGTCAGAGGCGTGTGAAGTCCATCTTAAAGAGGATCTGGTAAAATGAGGCTGAAAACTGTTGGGCTGCATTCCCAGAAGGTTAAGGCATTCTAAGTCACAGGATGAGATAGGAGGTCAGCACAAAATACAGGTCATAAAGACATTGTTGATGAAAACAGGTTGCAGTAAAGGAGCCGGCCAAAACTCACCAAAACCAAGATGGTGACCAGAGTGACCTCTGGTCGTCCTCACTGCTACACTCCCACCAGCGCCCTGACATTTTACAAATGCCATGGCAAAGTCGGGAAGTTACCCTATAAGGTCTGAAAAGGGGAGGCATGAATAATCCATTCCTTGTTTAGCATATCATCAAAAAATAACCATAAAAAAACAGGCAACCAGCAGTCCCCGGGGCTGCTCTGTCTCTGGAGTAGCCATTCTTTTATTCCTTTACTGTCTTAATAAACTTGCTTTCACTTTGCACTGCAGACTTGCCCTGAATTCTTTCTTGTGTGAGACCAAGAACTCTCTAGTGGGGTCTGGATTGGGACCCCTTTCCTGTAACAGGACCTCAGGTATGGAAGGGTGATCACAAACTCAGTTGTTACCTACAAATTATGAGAATCTTCCTAGATCTAAGACTACCAAGAATCGCTCTTCCTTAGACTTCACATTCTGTTTGCTCCTTTTTTTTTTTTTTTTTTTTTGAGACTGAGTCTCACTCTGTTGCCAAGGCTGGAGTGCAATGGCATGATCTCAGCTCACTGCAACCTCCACCTCCTGGGTTCAAGCAATTCTCCTGCTTCAGCCTCCCGAGTAGCTGGGATTACAGGCATGTACCACCATGCTCGGCTAATTTTTTTGTATTTTTAGTAGAGATGGGGTTTCACCATGTTGACCAGGCTGGTCTCGAACTCCTGACCTCAGGTGATCTGCTCACCTCAGCCTCCCAAAGTGTTGGGATTATAGGCGTGAGCCACCGCGCCTGGCCTGTTTGGTCCTTTTTATTGGGCCTGGATTCTTGGGCAATAACCCTAACATAAGTCTCCACACCTTATATTATTCATGCAATCTGCATTTAGATTAAACCCTGAACTTTCATCTTAACTTCTCCTTATGTTTTCATGCTACATGGTGGCATCTCTTTGTCCACTGACTGATAATATCCTCTTCATCAAGAGAAACCTCTGGAATATGTAACACATTCTGCTGGCCTAAATGAACTCCTGGGCCCAGTCAATCAGGATTTCACTGACCTTATGTTAGCCAGAAGTCAGAAGCAGGACTAAAATTTTCTCATCTGCAAAATGGGTGCTTGCCCTAGGCAATAGATAAAATTCTGAAGAGCTATAAAATCCCATGATTCTAAATCAATGTCACATGGAAGTTTTGCTCTTCTATTCTGGCTCAGTATTTCTTAGTGTAATGTTTTCTTATGAGTACAGCTATTATTTCTGAACAACATCTAACCTTGAGATTTAAAAAATCTGGTAGAAAGGATGTATGATAAACAAAGAGCACTTTTTAAAAAAAAAGTCAGCAACTTGGCTGGGCGAGGTGGCTCACGCCTATAATCCCAGCACTTTGGGAGGCCGAGGTGGGTGGATCACGGGGTGAGGAGTTCGAGACCAGCCTGGCTAACATGGTGAAACCCCATCTCTACTAAAAATACAAAAAAATTGGCTGGGTGTGATGGTGCATGCCTGTAATCCCAGCTACTCAGGAGGCTGAAGCAGGAGAATTGCTTGAACCCAGAAGGTGGAAGTTGCAGTGAGCCAAGATCGCGCCACTGTACCCCAGCCTGAGTGACAGGGCGAGACTCCAACTCGAAAAAAAAAAAAAAAGAAGTCAACAACAACTTACCTCTCTTCATTGTTTTCCATCTGATTAGGGAACGCAGCAAAGTCTAGCAGTAATTTAATGGCATCAAGGTATCCATTGTTGCAGGACCAATGCAAAGCTGTTCTTCCCTATAAGCATAAACAAAAATCAAGTACATCTGGAGTATTTTTGGACATGTGGTTATTTATGCTAACTCAAAATTAATATAAGCAATCATTTTTCCAAATTGCTTATTTACAAAAAGGGAAAATATTAAATACACAGTGGAGAAAGCAAATGACATTTGACCCAAGCGCTTGTAATTAACGCTTTTTTTTTTTTTTTTGGAGATGTAGATTTGCTCTTGTCTCTCAGGCTGTAGTGCAATGGTGAGATCTCAGCTCACTGCAACCTCCACCTCCAAGGTCCAAGTGATTCTCCTGCCTCAGCCTCTTGAGTAGCTGGGATTACAGGTGCCTGCCACCACGCCCAACTAATTTTTATAGTTTTAGTAGAGACGGGGTTTTGTCATGTTGACCAGGCTGGTCTCAAACTCCTGACCTCAGGTGATCTGCCCACCTCAGCCTCCCAAAGTGCTGGGATTACAGGCATGAGCCAACGCACCTGGCCAATTAACACTATGTTAAGGGGCATCATGTATCTCCAGAGGTAATACTCTGAGAAGGATTCATATTACTTATGTAATATTCCAACCAAAAATGTGAAACCTGAATCTAATTATGAGGGAACGTAAGACTAACACAAATTGAGTCAAATTCTGTAAAATAAATGGCTTATATTCTTTAAAAATTTCAATGTCATGAAAGATAAGAGATGAAGCATTGGTAGACATAAAGAGGGGATACTTCATAGTGTTAAAGGAGTCAAAAAGGAAGATATCACAATGCTAAATTTGTATGCATCTAATAACAAAGCTTCCAAATATACAAGGGAAAAACTGACAAAATTAAAAAGGAAGATAGTCAAATCCACAGTCATAGTGGGATTTTAACCCATCTTTTAAAACAGCTGATAGAACAGACAAAAGAGCAGTAAAGATATATAAGACCTAAACAACAGGCCTAAAAAAAGGGCCCTGATATATATATATACACACATATATATATATATTAAAAAAAACACTGCATCCAACAAGGACAGGGTTGGTGCTCTTTTCACATGTACACAGAACATTTACCAAAATCGATCATATGCTGGGCCATAAGGTTCCAAAAAAATAATGCACTCCATCACAAAGATGTCCATATCCTAGTGCCTGGTACCTGTGAATATGTTGTTACATGAGAAGGAAGAATTAAGGTTGTAGATGGAATTCAGATTGCTAATCAGCTGATCTTGAGATAGGAAGATTATCTGGGTGGGCCTGATGTAATCACAAGGGTCTTTATAAGGGAAAGAGGGAGTCAGGAGGGTGAGTGTAAGAGTTATACAGATAAGTGATACAGAGAAAGGCTCAACCAGCCAATGGGGCTTTGAAGATGGAGGAATGGGGTCATCAGCCAACGAATGTGGGCAGCCTTCAGAAACTGAAAAAGTAAAAAAATGGATTCTCTCCTAGATCCACCAAAAGAAAAGCAGCCCTGGTGACACCTTGATTTTTAACCCAGTAAGACCCATTTTGAATTTCTGACATCTAGAATGGTAAGATAATAAATCTGTGTTGTTCTAAGCCACTAAACCTGTGGTAATTTGTTACAGCAGCAATTAAAAAAACTAATAAAATCAATTTAAAAAATGAGAAAACACTTAACTGACTAAAAATTAAACTACACTTCTAAATAATCTATGTGTCAGAGAATAAACCAAAATAGAAATTAGAAGTTAGAAAATAGAAAAGACAGGAGCAAGACTAATGAAATAGTAAACAAACTCAAAATACAGGCCAGGTGCGGTGGCTCATGCCTGTAATCCTAGCACTTTGGGAGGCTGAGGCAGGTAGATTGCTCGAGCTCAGGAGTTCAAGACCAGTCGTGGGCAACATGGTGAAACCCTTTCTTACTAAAACTACAAAAAATTTAGCCGGGCAGGGTGGGCGTGGTGGCTCACATCTGTAATCCCAGCACTTTGGGAGGCCCAGGCGGGCGGATCACGAGGTCAGGAAACCGAGACCATCCTAACACAGTGAAACCCCATCTCTACTAAAAATACAAAAAAATTAGCCAGGTGTGGTGGCGGGCGCCTGCAGTCCCAGCTAGTCGGGGGGCTGAGGCAGGAGAATGGTGTGAACCTGGGAGGTGGAGCTTGCAGTGAGCCGAGATCACGCCACTGCACTCCAGCCTGCGTGACAAAATGAGACTGCGTCTCAAAAAAAAAAGAAAAAAAAAAAAATTTAGCCAGTCGTGGTGGTGTGCACCTGTATAGTCCCAGCTACTCAGAGGGCTGAGGTGGGAGGATCACCCAAGCCTGGGAAGGTTGAGGCTACCATGAGCCACGATCATGCCACTGCACTCCAGCCTGTGTGGCAGAGTGAGATACTGTCTTAAGAAACAAACAACCAAACAACAACAACAACAACAAAAAAAAAACCCCAAATCTCAAAATATATAAAATCCACAAAGAAGTAAGTCCTTTGAAGAGATGAATATCAAGTTTTTTTGTTTGTTTTTGTTTTTTTGTTTTGTTTTGTTTTTTTAGTGCTCCAGGTAAGGAATGAAGAAAATTAAAAAAAAAAAAAGAGAAAGCACACATTACTAATATATGAAATAAACAAGAGGAACTCACTAGAGATCCTACAGACATAAAAAAGATAAGGGAATATGTGTGTGACAAAATTTATGCAAATAATTTGACATTTTGAATAAAATGAATAAATTCCTCAAAAAGTACAACTTACCAAAGCTGAAAGAAAAATTATTAGAAAATTTGAATAATTAATGGAATTGAATTGGTTATTTAAAACTTTTACACAAAGAAAACGCCAACACCAGATAACTTCAAGAGGAAGTTCTTCCAAACATTTAAGGAAGAAGTAATACCAATTTTATTCTCCAAGAGAATAAAAATAAGGGACTATTTTCTAACTTTTTTTTTTTTGACAAGGTTAGCCTTACCTTGCTACCAAAACCTTGCGACTATAATACAAGAAAGGAAAATTATAGGCCAATCTCTCTCATAAACATAGATGCAAAACATCTAAAAAAAAAAAAAAAATCAATCAATGTAATTTGCCCTATTAACAGAAAAAAGGAAAAAAAAATCCTGTTGATAAATGCATAAATAGTATTTGACAAAAACCCAACTATGATTTTAAAAAACTCTTGGCAAGTGGGAATATAACGAAACCCATAGCAACGTCTTACTCAATGGTAAAATGTTGAAAGCTTGCCATCTGACAAACCAGAATGAATCAAGGATGCCAATTATCACCAATTCTATTCAATATTGTATTGAAGGTTCTAATTCAATATGGCACATCAAAGAAATGAAAGGCATAAAGATTGGAAATGAAAAAATAAAAATGTTATTATTCACAGATAGCATGCATGATTGCTTATGTAGACAATCCAAAGCAATACACATAGCAGCTAATAGAACTGGAAAGATACTTAATATGCTACTTATGTAAAAAACTGGCAACTTGGTAAAGCATTAAAAGTACTACAAATTATAAAAGATGCATTCCTAGTATCATAAGGACATGGACCATATTTTACATACTTTTCTTTATGTTACTTTTACATACAGTAACAATCTTGATAAATACTTGTTCAATGAGTTGATAGGGACTTGAGTTAATAGGTATAGCTAATTTTCTGACTTGGAGAACATAATTAACATGCAAATATTTTTAAAGAGTTAAAATAATTTAATTAGCAAAAAAAGTTAATACTGGCTAAACTGAGAGAAGTTAAGACTACACAGCTGGGGAACGTATAGATTAACCAGAATCTTTTAGAAATCAGTTTGGCAGTATATATATGATTTGGCAGCCTAATCATATTAATACATGATTGGTTGGTTTGATTTGATAATCTCACTTAGGGGGAATTATTCTAAGGAAATGATCCTAAAGGAAAAAAGTTAAATGCACAAAGATAATTACTGAAACTTTACCTATAATAATGAAAAAGTGACCAGCAATAGGAAGTTACTTATTTAACCTAATATTTGGGTTAAGAGCATACTTTGGATACTAAATCTCCCCCCAAGCTCCCCCAACTGTTGTTATCTTAGGCTAACTACTTAAACTACATGAGCTTCAATTTCCTCATCTGTAAAATGAGAATAATAGTAATTACTTTATAAGATTATTGTAAGGATTGAATAAACTATTAAACATAAAGTTCTTAGAACTCTGGAATTTTAAGCATTCATGATTATTAAGAAGATTATATATCACATGAGAAAATGGTGACAATTTTAAGTACACAAAATGTGGTTTGAAAATCATGTAATAGGCCGGGTGCGGTGGCTCACGCCTGTAATCCCAGCACTTTGGGAGGCTGAGGTAGGTGGATCACGAGGTCAGGAGTTTGAGACCAGACTGACCAACATGGTGAAATCCCATGTCTACTAAAAACAATACAAAAATTAGCCAGGTGTGGTGGTGCATGTCTGTAATCTCAGCTACTCAGTAGGCTGAGGCAGAAGAATTGCTTGAACCCGGGAGGTGGAGGTTGCAGTAAGCTGAGATTGTGCCACTGCACTCCAGCCTGGGTGACAGAGTAAGACTCTTGTCTCAAAAAAAAAAAAAAAAAAAAAAAAAAAAAGGGGAAGAAAATCATGTAATAGGCCAGATGTGGTACCTCATACCTATAATCCTAGCACTTTGGGAGGCTGAGGTAGGCAGCTCACAAGGTCAGGAGTTTGAGACCAGCCTGGCCAACATGGTGAAACTCCATCTCTACTAAAAACACAAACATTAGCCAGGCGTGGTGGCGTGCGCCTGTAATCCCAGCTACTCGAGAGGCTGAGGCAGGAGAATCACTTGAACCCAGGAGGCAGAAGTTGCAGTGAGCTGAGATTGTGCCACTGCACTCCAGCCTGGGCAATGAAGCGAGACTCCATCTCAACAAAAAAAAAAGAAGAAAAGAAAATCATGTAATAGGGTCAGGTGTGGTGGCTCATGCCTGTAATCCCAGCACTTTGGGAGGCCGAGGTGGGCAGATTACCTGAAGTTAGGAGTTCG